GCGAGATCAGGATGGTCTCACGAGGCTAAAATGTTACGGCGTCAAATTTAAATGTATTTTATTCAGATTCATATGATTAACCAAAATTATAGCACAATGACACGAAACAAAATTCTAAATTTTGACTTATTTTTTAAATATGAATACCTGATGGTGTGACATGCATTTGCATTGAGCTGCCTCTATTCTATGTCTCTGGATAAATTTCCATGCAAGTAAATTTACTTGGAGAGAAACCCTTGAAATAATTTCTTAAAAATTCACCAGTGCTTTTTTTTAACCCTGTCAAACATTTAGGAGAAAGTGCTGTGAACCTTTCATATTATTTTTATTAGTTTACATTCAAACTGTGATCTGTGGCAGACCCTGGGAAAAAAAACTCTTCTCAATGAGTAAACATTGTTGTTTAGGTGTCCTATATATGGATAAATGTAAAGATGGAAATCTGAATTGAGCTTAATGCAGAGAATTCATGAGATAGTTCACCTTTTAACACAACTGCAATGACACTTATTGTATATTTTCATTCTACAAAGTATTTATTTAGAGGCTGCTAGGATAAAAACATGTCATGATTTTAATTTATTTGTAAAATAATGTAAAAAAAACATTAAAGTTTTCTACTTTGCAGTCGTTTGTCACTTTCTGCTGTCCTGTTAAAATACACAAATCAGTGTATGTAAAAGTACAAAACATAAAGCAGTTTACAACGTATGTCTACTTTAGTGAGACACTTTATTTATTAAACATGTAAGCAAGTATTTAACAGATGAAAGCAAAGAATGCCATTACCCAGCTCTGCATACTCTGTATTTTCCATCATTTTCTTGATTTCTTCTTCTGCATCGTTTATTACGCATCTGTGGTTTTTGTTTATTTTCTCTACTTTTTTTCTTTTGCACCACCAACCAAAGTTTCCATTTTCTCACACTCAAACCGGCAATGTCCACATTTCTCAGGTGTCCGCCGAATGTTTGCAGATAATCAGATTTTTTTAATCACATTTTATATACAGGCTTTTTTCTTGTGTATATTTTATAAATATATTACTGTTACCCCACGGTTCTCTTTGCATGACCTGCACACTCCCAGTAGAAAGCTGGTTTTATTTGTTTGGGTTTTTATTCTGCTGCTTTTAGCTTTGTGGCTCAGATCCGATATCCCCTCTTTTTCTGTGGACCTCCCGCCACATGCAGGTTGTTATGATGCTTTAAGGTCAAATTTAATACATTCTTTCACTGTTTTATTCACTTCAATGGTCTTTAAAGCGTATGTTCCCTGCTATGTGAACACTAAAAATCTATGCATGCTGTTATCCTCCAGTGCTACTTTTCTTTAAAGCAGAAGCAGATGTAAATGCAGTGGCACATTTGTACTTTAGGGTTTGCATGTCTTTAACAGCAGCTTTTAGCAGAGCTAACATCTGTGGAGTTATTAAACATATCACCATTATTTTTTTTTCAGTGTTTTTCGTTTTTGGAGGATTTTATATTGAAGGAGTATTTTCTGTCTTCGTACTGTTTTAACATCATCTGTTTGGGAATTTCCAGGAGATTTAGATGTGAATTCTCAAATTTCCTCTGCTTAGATGCTATTTTTGGACATTTTTAAGATGTTTCCCTGCAAACGGCCTTAGTATTTATTATAACGGCAAATGAGAGGGATGATAGAAATGAAAAACGGCAGGACCCCGGTACTGATCATTTCTAAATGGATCTTCAGTTCTACATGCTGCACGGCGGTGGAAAGGTGCTTCTATCGCCCTCTACCTTTGGCAATAGCACAACATGGGTGTTGTATAATAAATGATAACTGCGTGACGTTGCACATGTCTGAAACATTGCAATGAAGAAAAGGATTAAGCTTCATTTGGGATTCTATGCCTCCTAAGAAGATCATGCTTGAGCAGCGATGTAGTTGATGTGGAAGCAAAGTGACGTCTGCTGATAAATGTAACTATAGTTGGATGATATGACCGCATCGATCGCATCGTTTACTTCTTTCCTGTTTACATGTACAAACATTGAAATGTATGAAAATAGTGTAAAATACTTTGGATATCATTCTTTTCTGTAATAAATCATGGATTGT